AAATAAAGGAAAACCTTGCTGCTGGCTGCAGCCCGTGCTCCAGACCGGCCCTGGCACCCACCTCTGGTCACCTCTGAGATGTGGCTTCTGGCGATGGGAGCCAGGTTCATTACCATATTTTCACTGCCTGTAATTAGTCCAGTAGGAGGGTTATTACCTCTCTTATAATTAAGAAGAGAGATAAGATAATTTGCCACACTGTTTCTGACTTCATTGCTGTTCTTGGCTGCTGCTGTTTCAGGGCCTTTGGGAACCACTGGAGCTGCAAACATCTCACTCATCACCTTGAACCAAACAGCATGGAGGGGAGGTCCTTGGCCAGGGGATGGCCTTTGGGGGCTGACCACAACTGTGCCCCACGTGCTGGGCTGCCACCACATCATCCCTGCAGGACTTGCTGCAAGACATTGTCTTTCAATAGCTCAAAATAGTAGTGCAAGAGGTTACTCTGGGTTTCCTCCAGCCAACCCCCTACTCACCCCTTACAATCTACACCAATCTACAGCAAACAGTCCCCCGTGACCTACGTGGCCTGACAAGCCTCCCATGCTACAGGTGAAACCTGTTCAACATCTCCACTATCTATTTTATGACCCTCCCCAAATACCAGCCCTTACAGCAAAGCTTTCTGCACAGAACTCAGCTGCAAATACCACGTTTTGGGCTGCAGTGCAGTCACTCATGTTCCCACTGACAGAAATGCCCTTTCCTTGGGTGGCCAGGACCCAAGAACCCTTGAACAAAACAGTGATCTGAAAACCACCTTCCTCCAGCTCCCACCAGCAACCGGGCTTTGGGCAGCCCTGGGCTGCTCTGTACTCCCCGAAGTGAGATGGGGTGAGGGACTGACCCTCTGCCTGGCTGGCACCGCCCAGGAAGGGCTTGAGGCTCAGCTCTCCTGGGTATCACACGCCTTCGCTCAGCCTGGATTCAGGTATTTCTTCCATGATCACATTCGCATCTTGCTAGGAGGGGCCCTGTGCCATCTTGTGGCCATTGCTAAAACAAATGTAACTAAGGGAAAACCTTGCTGCTGGCTGCAGCCCGTGCTCCAGACCGGCCCTGGCACCCACCTCTGGTCACCTCTGAGATGTGGCAGCTCAGCAGCCAAATTGGCTTTTAGAATTGTTTAGGTTTGTTTGTTTGTTTGTTTGTTTGTTTTCTTTTAATAAAACGGAGAAGTGAATCATCAGGTCCAAACATTAACCTAGCACACTGCCCAATCCACCACTAAACCACATCCCTAAAAACCAGATGTGGTTCTGCCTGAAAAATACATCCTAAGTTTTCCACTGCCTGTGGATTTCCACCCTGTAAATTGTATCAAAATTGTACCAAGTTGTACCAAATTCCCTAAAAGATGGGGTGACCCCAATGTGCCCCATCACCTACAGCCCCCCCAGCTGCACAAAAGATGTGCTCAGACCCTGGGCACGGGTGCCCAGAGAGCAGGGGTATCAGCAGCAAAACTCACAACCCATTCCATCACAGGCATACGAGACCTCTTGTTGCATATAAATTAATCCTCAATTAAGGTGGGGAAGTGCAAGGATCTGAGGACAACTGTGTTATTTCTTTACTCATCTCAGGAAGGGTGGAAAAAATCTCTAGCAGAGGGTCAGTGATGAAGCAGGGAGAGAAACCATCAGAACTATCTGGATTTATTTTTTCTTCTCCCAGCAAAGACTGGCAGAAAATGTTTTTGCTGCTCTCAGCAGGCACTTCTGCTGCTCCTCCAGTGCCCACCTGGTACCCTGATCCTCGCCAGGTACCAGCTCTAGCCTGGCTGAGAGACCTTTTAAGACCTAAATATGCATTATAAAAATTATGTATTACACTGTCTCTCCAGAGCAGGGGAGACCTGGAGAAGGGATGAATTGTCCCTTGCTCACATGCTCTCTGGCACAGCCACCCTTTCCTGGTGAAGGGCTGGCTGGCAGCAGTTGCAGGGCTGCCCCCACCCAGGCCTTGCCTATCAGGGGAACTAACTAGAGTTTTACAACCCTAACACATAAACACAATAAAATAATGAGACAGAGGTTTCTATTTTCAATTAACTTTGAGGATCAGACACTTTCCATCCTTATTTATTATCTACACACGTACCCTTAGGCCACTCAACTGGCTGCTTGCGCTACCTGCCCAGTTATGTTCCTGGTCTTCAGAAAACAGTAATGAGAATAGCCCTCTGCTGCACCCAGGCTGTCATGAACCAAATACACCCTTAACACCCCAGAGGGGAGGCAAGAGGCAGACAGCTTTCCCAAAGTCCAGATTTTTGCGTTAAAAAAAAACAACCCAAAACTTAAAAGTTCATTAAAAGCAGAGATACTCTGAATTGCCTCTTCTTCCTAATAATAATCCAATAAAAAGAGAGGGGGCTGGGGAGGGGATAGAGGGAAAAGTGAGGGGAAAAAAAAGAAATCACCCTTTACACCCTCCTTTTTGTATTCCCAGCTTTGCAGCTGCTCCCTGGACAGCTCTTGCTCCATAGTGAGATCCCCCAGACCAGTGTCTTGGAGGTCTCCTGGCAGCAGCTGTGGGTGCAGCACAGGGCAGAGGAGCACTGAAGGACACTATGTCTGTGTCTCTGTCCCTCAGCACCAAGCTCAGCTCCCCTGAAATTGTGGTATGTTACAAATACTGCAAGTCAGCACACACTGTGCTTCCTGGTTAGTCCCAGAGGATATGATGCTCTTTGGCACACTGAACCCACCATCATTTTTCAAACAACTGGATTAGTGCTCTGAAGTTTAACAGCTTCTGAATTATGATGCCAGAGCCAACTCATCTTTTGTAGTCCAATGAGGTGTTTACACAGACCTGGAGGGCAGAGGCAGTCATGTACAGCAACACAAGTCTTGGTAGAAAGGGATTAAAATGAGCATTTAAAATTACTATCTTTTGTCTGTATCCCCTGATACATGTGTCTTAAATGCTAATTCTCATCTTTTTTTTGTTTTTAATTTCTGAGGCCTCCTTTATCATGGAAACCCTGAGAATTTATTTCCATCTCCATCAGTGCTTTGGCAAGTAGAAAACTTTGATACAAATTTAATTGAAAGCCTGTAACTGCTGGAAGACTGACTCTCAGATGTGTTATCCTGGAAGTGGGTGACTCCAGGCTTCAAAAGACAGATTGAGAAACTGTAACAAGGCAGGTGTAAAGGTGTATGTCAGACCATGTTGTGACCTGAGTGACGCTGGACCTGATAACATCCTCCTCCTCCAGCAGGGTTAATAGCTCTAAGGGAGAGCTGCAGGATGTGATTGTGTCAGGATCATTAAGTCTCCTTTGTCATCACTGTAGCATGTTCTCTTACCTCTGTCTTGGAGCTACACCACCCTTATTGACTGCTAAAACAAAAAGCTGCTGATGGATGTCCAGAGGTTGCTTTATGCTAATTAATTACAGCTAATATGGGTTTTGTGTGTGTTGGCACGTCAGTGCTTCCCACAGTTGATTTGCATAGAATATACAGCTTAGGCACTGCAAGGGGAAGGGCTGTTGGGCTTTGCAGGCAGTGCTGCTGGGTGGACCAGAGTGCACGGCTGCACCCAAGGACTCCCCCAAGCAAGAATGTGCCTTTTCCCACTGGATCTGCTGCCACCCAAGTGAGTGGGGCAGGTGGCATGTAGGGCCCCTCCTGCAGGCCTAGCAAATGTTAAACAGGAGCATTAAAGCCTTTCAAAGATGGAACAGGTTCTGCTTTCATAATATTTTTCTTTTCAGTCTCCACAAGAGTTGGCACAGCTTGTTGTCCTACAAAGCACTTTTTTCTTCTTGCTCAGAACATCTTGAATTAATTCTTGGCAGGACTATCTAACTCTGCATGAAGATAGGAATAAGCTCCAGCAAAACTGGGGGCTCCTGCAAGGCCACTCACTCCACTCTGGGACACTCTGGTGTGTGTGCAGACTTTCCCTGTGTGACACTCCTGTGGCAGACACGTGGATGTGGCAGAGCAAAGTAACCAGTTTCAGGTCCCACCTGCTGGTAATCCAGAGAGGAATTTTCCTAGGAAATCAGCATCATGTGAAAGTGCATTTCAATGCACCTTATCAACCCTCTCTGAAGGCTGCAGTCTCTGCACCATCACCATGACTGAGGTAACTGGGGACCCACTTCTTTTCTTAATTGAAGCCAATTGATTTCAGTGGGCACTTGGTGCCTATCTACACTTTAAGATCTAGATCTGAAGGATCCCAAGTAAGAACATAAATGAGTGTCAAGTGTGGGCTTTGTGACTCAGCTGGATAGAGAACTCCATATCCTCTTCGCAATTTGCTCAAATAACATTCCTAAATTTTTTCTGAAAGGAAACAAAGAAAATCAAGAGGGCAACAAAGATGGTAATAACTGAATTTGCTTCTGAATTTTCTTTATCTTCAACATACAAAAGTGTTACTGCCAAAGCTAGTTCTGATTTCCTCTCAGAAACTGTCTCTTCCATGGACAGTGCTGAAAAAGAATGCAAATGTGAGTAGTTAAAATAACTCTACCTGAAGGCAACAAAATCAGATTGGTGTTGTAACTCGCTGACGTTTCTCTCCCTTTCCCCCACCCTTCCCTAAACAGCACTGCTATTTTACAGCAAGAGAAACCCTTTCAGAGTTTTGTAGCTGATTTGGAGCTACAGACCTTTACTACTGCAAGAAGGACAAAAGGGAAGAAAGAGAGGTATTTTCTAAAGGAAATTAACCAAAAAAACCCCCGACATTTCATGTCGGTTCACAAGTGCCTTTTAGTTTTATGCCACCTAATACCAAAATATCAGTACACACCCAGGACTGCAGTTAATACTGTGTTGCAGTTCAGAAACTGCAAGAAAATGTAATTGGGTCTTGTTATGCCTAAATTAAAAATTAGAATCTTTTTTTGGAAGAGATTCTTCCAACACAAAAAGAAATAACAGACTGTGTAAATAATAATATTTTGTAATAATCCCCAGCTGTACACTTTGTTTTTTTTCAGAAACGAGCAATATCTTGCAGAAAAGATGACATTTATTGGCTTATTTTTCTTCTGTATGCTGATGAACATCCTAACAGGTAAGATTACTATTGAATTTATTCTCATTTATTTTTTCAAGCAGCCAGAAATACTTTGTTACTGACACAATATCTTCTATTTAGTATCAGATGTTGTGTATTAATCACAACTACTCTGGCTGTTAGTTAAGAGTATTTGGTTTGCAGTACAGAGTAACTGCAAGTGGGGAATTTCTTACTCAGCTGTTGAAGAAGCAGAAAACATTTGGCTATATAGAGGGTCCTGCATGTGCATTAAAGAACTTGTCAGCTTCTGGCTCCACAGGAAACCTTTTATTAACAAAGTCCTTCTGTGCAGAAGGTTGTACTGATGAGTTTCCTCTTTATTTACAGATGCTCGATCAATCCTAGATGCAGATGGTAATTATTATTTTTCTTTCCATTGTATCACTAACAATTAGAAGTAATTTATAACTCCCAGACCTGATCCCCAGCAGTGATTTTGGCAGCAACACTTACTAACCTTAGTGGGCTGTGGAAGTGCTTTCATCTAGTTCTGGTGGAGGGAGAAAAGTGGATTTTTAGAATTCCTTTAAAATATATGTAGAGCTGACCTATTAATGTCTAATAATAAGGCAAACACAATTGCAGTCTTAAAACAAAAAGGGGTTATGATCAAGTCACTAACTCTGTATAAAATTGTAACTGGAAAGTACCATACTTATTAGACATCTGAGAATGTTGTCTGTCCTGAGCAGTAATACTATATGTGTATCTAGCTATTGGCAGGAAATACTGACTTCCACAACAAAAAGCTTAACATTTACAAATTGCTACAAATCCAATTAGAGAAATGTTGGAATAAATCCTTTAGCACAGCTACCCTGTGGTTCGTGTCACTTTGTGTGATTAGCCCATTAGATTAGCATTTGCTTTTGATTACAGAAACCCCTCAACGTCTAGATGATGTTTACACTGGCTTATTGATGACTTAGTTAACTTCTCTTCGGTGTTTTCAGACAGAATTCACTCTGAAAACAGTTGCAGAGTAGTATCTGCAGTAACAAGGTTCTGCCATTGCCAGTGTACATCTAGTATAGCAAGCAGCATCCCAAGGGCACAGCTACAAATAAGCAGGGAGAATATTGTAACAAATATTGAAAGGAGAAATAGATATATGAAATGAGGGCTGATGTGATTACTTCTAATTAAAACCATTTTTCCCTATGCTTCATTATTTCCTTATGGCACTAAAATCTTTTGAATGCATATCTGTGTTTTCATGAGCTTAAGGGGTGCCATGGTATTTGTGCAAATATTTCTGTGGCAACCTCTTAATCAGGGGAGTGTGTGTCTGTCTAAAAATAAAACCTTGTTCAGGCAGTGCCCTATTACATTACCAACAATGATGGTTTTCTTTCACACTGGGCCAAGCAGCAGACTGCAAAGTGAATCTAAGGCCAGCTGGTATAAACAGTGAATTTTCCACTGCAGACAGCATTTAGGTGGCTCATTTGATTTGTTATTTGCCATCTGTGCCTGTGTGCTGCAAACTTGACTCTGTAAAATTAAGGCCTGACAATAGGATTGTAGAAGGCTATGAATTTCCACTAAAGACCCCAGTCCCAAGCTGAGCCTGGTGAGTGGTATGACTCCCATTTCTTTAAATGGACTTTAAAATCAAAACAAAATGCTGGGTTTAGCTTTGCTGCACACAAAGGCATTTGTAACTATGTGGTCTCAGCAAGTGTTGACATTCTATAGATGCTCTGTGTTTGCCTGGATTTGGGCCCAAGGGCGGTCAGCTCCTTCAGTTTCAGAGTTGTGTTCTCTACTTAGCTGGGCTGCTTTGTGCTGGGATGGGGGGGGAGCAACTGTGTGGCCCTTTCCCCTGGCTCTGCTGCCAGGAGCCTTTGGGCAGCTGATGGTGCCTTATTCATTATCTTTTTATACTGGGGAGAGGAAATGGTGTGGAATAGGGAAAAATGGTTTTCAGTTGTAATTACTCCTTGCTTTTAAATAACCAGCTGCCTTCTAGAAATTAAAGCAGCCTGAGGAATTCCTGAATTGCCCCAAATGCCAATGGTGTCCCTTCATTCCTACTCTCCATCTTGTCCCACTCTGCTATTTCTTGTGCCACTGGAGCAGAGGATACTAACTTCATCTTTTGTGCAGAGGGACATGGAGGGCATCATGGCCCTGCCTGCCTCTCTCTTGCTGGAAGAGCCCACAAGGCCCCCAAGGGAACCTACAACCCCAAACGTTGTTGGCTTCTGAGCCCAAGCTTTCAAAAAAAATGCTTTCTATTATAGCAAGTTTGTGTTTTGTTTGTTTTTGTTTGTTTGTTTTTCCTAAGATCCTTACCAGGAGTCTGTAGCCTTGCCTTACTGGCCCTTCTCAGCCAATGATTTCTGGTCCTATGTGGAGTATTTCCGGACCTTGGGAGCCTACGACAGGATTGAGGAAATGGCCAGAGCCTTCTTTGCCCAGTTCCCTTTTGGGAGTCACCTTGGCTATCACGTGCCCAACCACGAGCACTGACTGCTTCACTCACTTCTGCTGCAGCTGGTGCTGGCCAAGGTGTTTAAGTGAACACAAGGCTGCCAGCAAATGCACCTTAGGTGCCACTCACATACCCACAGCAGCTACATGTAGAGTTTCATGCTTTAAATTAGCATTTTTCTTTTTACAACTTATGCTTTTGCACAAAATCAATAAACTCCTTGATTCTGTTGCAGAGCTCGGGGACGTTTGGTGTTGTTTTTTTGGCTTTTTTTACAGGTAACACTAACAGCCCTTGCTCAGGAACCCATTCTCTGTGTGTAGCAGTTAAATACCAGTTTGGTGGCTGGAAGTATTACCATTTTAAGACAGACTTCCTTTAGGAAAGAAACATTGTTATTTAGTGCAAGTTTGTACAAAGCTGGGTGCTTGGTGCCTTCCCATGAATCAAGCACACCAAATGAGATTTTCCATTACATATTTATACAGAAAACGATAAAGTTAGTAAGCTTCCAAATCCTTCTTCCTTGAAGCGATTGGTTAGCAATTTACATATAGTTATAATATGGTTACATCACTCTATCACCCATACTCAGGGGAAGGGTCTTCTCCTGGGCAGGGATATTTTTGACTTGCGTTGTGATTTTTAGTATTATAATTACACCATAATGAGCTAAGTTCACCTCAAAGAAATGATATTGCAAGTTTTACAGCTCCAACTGCCCCAGGCTGGTTGAGCCATCAATGATCTTGATTTGGGTTGTTAATCACCTCCTGCATTCCTTAGGTCCCATTATCTGTAGAGACCTCAGGTCTTCTCTGCCAAGTTGGTGATTTCCATGAGACACCCTTCAAGCTCCTTGATGATTTGCTTCTTCGAGGCCCAGTTGTTCCAAGATCCTTGCTCGGTGCTGGCTCTGGTACCGTGTGCCAGACCATGGTTTTTACTTGTATACGTAGAGCACGTAGGACACAAGGTTACACCATTCCAAATCTCCGGGCTGTGTTCTCTCGGAAGGCCCGCCAGCAGGACCCACAGCCACATCCCCCGCAGGGACCCAGCGCTCTGTGCACGGATCCACCTAGTCCCGGGCCCTCCTTGGGCGCCATTTCCCTCCTCCAGGCCCGGCCCTGTTGCCGTGGTGAGGAGGGCGGGGAGAGCAAAATGGCGCCGCCCTGAGCAACCAGCGAGAGCACCGCCAAGCGGACAGAGCGCCGCCCCACCGGCAATATAAAGGAAGCGGGCGGCGCGCACCCGGAAGCGGCGGCGCGGGGGGCAGCGGAGGCGCTTGCCC